CAATCTCACTGCAGATAGGTGGATACCGGATGCTCAACTGTGTAGAAAACCATTCAGGCCTGCAGAAATGGAAGAAGGAATAGACCACACTACTACTAGCAAGGACTCGCCCAAAAGTAAAGTTCTAAGACTGTCAGACAGTAAGGATTAAATCCTAATGACGAACAACAACTTAGAAGAAGGCATCATCGACGCTCCTAATCCTAAGGCATCATCAGATCCCTCTACTTGCTGGAAGTTGTTCGTGGGTGAGATGTGGAAACTCTTCGTAGACGGAACATCCAATAGGCACGGCCCAGGACTTGGTATAGTTTTATCTCGCCAAATATAGTTATCGATATCCGATCAATGTGATTTTTTACAGGCATATAGTACTCGACGAGTTCTACACATTGAACGGTTCAGATTATCAAAACAGGACCCGTGGTGGGCCCCCACGGGCCCAACAACACGGTCCAGTCCGATCCCGGACTGGACAGAAGTCATACCCATTAAAAAAAGTGATTTTTTTTGTACTTTTTGAAAAACGTGTAAAAAATAAAGAAATAATGCGATTTAAAAAAAATTAAAAAATTGACTTTTAACTAACTTTTGCCAAAATAGATCGTTATTATTTAGCCCTGGTTTGGCATTTCTTTTGGGATTAAATAATCACAAAAAGACAAAATTGAATACAAAAGTCAATCAGACAAAATATTAGTTTTTACCAATAATCGTTATACTTTTTCTCGCACAAAAGTCAAAAGAGCCCCAAAATAAAAATCAAACGAGGATAAAAAAAATAAGTTAAAAAAATCCCAATATAAAAATATTAATTATATTAACTGATGCCAAACCAACCCTTAGTTTTCCTTCTCTTACAAAGAGAACTCTAAAATTTCATAGTGGTCCAATTTGACAGTGAAGCAATCTAGAGATGTGCTTAAGCGGACAAATTAATGGCATTAATTTAAATAACAATGATAGATAGAAAGTTCTAAATTTTGAACTTTAAAAAAAGTTTTAATGATGTGATAAGGATAAAAAAAAAATCAAAGCATCATATCAATGGAGTGAGGCCCACCCCTAGAGCTCCTTTAGAGCTCATGTTTTAAAGCTCCAAAACATTTTTGTAATTTAAATTCGGATAGTCTTGTATCATTGTTTTATTATAGTGGTACTACATGCAATAATTGGTGTACTAATTAGCGTACCAATACTAGTTATGATATTATTATTGAGTCCACTCATTATACAAATTATAAATACTAAAAATATCTTAAATTATGTAATATCATCAATTAGTACACTAATTAATGTACTAATTAGTACATATAGCATTAATCGTTTTATTATTACTCTAGGGTTTTTGTTCTGCTGCTATGTGCATTTATTATATTCATGTTGTTGTTCTATAGTGTAATATTAGTTGGAGAAGAAAATAAAAAGAGTTATGTTAGGCATCTTAAATAAATTATTAATTTTTTTACCAAACCTTTCATACCCATAAACATGTGATTTGTGTGGATCTCATACCTCATGTGAGAGATTTAGTAAAAAATTTGATAATTTATTTGAGATTCATAATATTTTCTAGATAAAAATATGTACAAAATGTTATGAATCATGAAAATATATATCAAATCTTAATGTGAATGTGTGTGTGTGTGTGTGTGTATGTGTGGTGTTGATTAAAGTTAGTAGGATGTAAGTTACACTCACAATAATTATAGATCATTGATTTACTTTTTTGAATAAATCTTTAAGTAATTTTTTTAAAATGTAATATTAATGAAATGTATATTAAAAATTATTAAATAAGCAAAGAAATAAAAAATATTAAAAAATATTGATTTACTTTATATAAATGGAACAACTCACTTTCTTTTTTTCTTTTTTTTTCCCACGTTAGATTATTGAATAAATCATAAACTAATTAGAGTTTTACTTTTATATGGTTAAATGGAAGTTAGCCAATGAAGATTTTTTTAATTGTTTAAAATTAAGAAAATTAGCATGAGATTTTAAATCTCTCACAAGACTCCTCACTAAAAACTTTTTTTTGCTTATATAATAGATAGATAGATTTTTTTAAAAGGTCAATCGGGCTTATTTTTTGTTGAAAAAAACCATGTCATTAATGACTATTATGTTTTTTTTTTATAATAAAAAAAATTATCACAAAAAAAGATAAACATGTAAATATCAAATAACAATTTAGGTCTAGAGAAGACTCATGACAATTTCAATTGTGTATCTCAAATAATGTCAATTTTAAGTAAAGTCGAAATTTATATTGCGAAGTAAAATAAAAAAAAATAAAAAAACAATAACAGTGTGAGCCCAAATGCTAATCAAAGTAAAATGGTAACCAATTAAAAAAATAAATAAATAAATAAACATTAAAAAATGGATTTTTATTGATAAATCTATTTTAGAGTTATTATAACTCATTAGGTCCACAAAGGATTATTATAACCTGACTAGTCTCATATACTTTTCTTTTTATTTCATGAGGTCCATTTTACTAATTTTATATTTTTAACTGGACTATTATTCCCTTATATATATATATATATATATATATTGTGTTGATACACATACCACGTTGCCTCTTTTTTCGTTTATTTTGTTTTGGTAGTTTCTATCTTCACGCTTTTGATCATCATTCTAATTCAGATAGATACATTTCTATTTTGTATGCTCGTTTCAAGGCTTTGATGTACTAGGGTTTCATTGTTGCTGTTGTAGTATGGTTCAGTGATTTTCGAGTGAAGATGACGGATTGGACAGTGTTCGGTTGTAACATTTTCTAGAGTATAACTAGTTGAAATGAGTTGTTTTCGAGTTACAAGACGGGTGTAGGATTGCATGATTAAGGTTATTATCATTTTGGTTATGAGTACATGTTCAGTTTATGTTTTGATTTGTATGATGGATGAGATGCTCTGTTTTTTTATTGATATGGATCAGATGCTCTGTTTGTTTAATTATATGCATTTTACATAGTCCTGTGGAGGGGAGGTCATTCAGATTATGTGAAGAATGTGGATGTTCTTATTTTACTTTGATGTTTGCTTAATGAGGCTCTGTGTGGGCAAGATAATTCAGAGTATATGTAACAATGTAAATGTTCACATCTTGTTTATATGAAGTTATGGAGGATTGCTTGCATGTTGTGTACCGTCACCTTATTGTGGGGGTGTCATTTTGATATTGTAAAATGTTTTATGTTGTGTAAAGATAGTAGTGATAGTTTTCATTATGGATTTAGCAGTTGAACTGTACACATAGGCATTTAATTTTGCACAATGTGAATTTTCATATCGTTTCGATTATTGTTGACTGTTGTATTGTTGTGTTTTTATAAGAGATGGATACCTTTATGATGCTGGTGTTCACATATGGTTGCAGTACAACTGTAATAAATGTTGCCCGCACATTGTATTATTCACATTTGGTGGAGTGTTTGTGTGAAAAATATGGTGAGTTGTCTGCTGGTTCTATTTCATTGTTATGTCGGTTACCTGAGATTAGTAAGTGTGATTTGGACAACGAGGAAGAATTTCAGAACATGTTATTGCTTGCTAAATCAATGGGGGTACAACAAGTAGAAGTTGTCGTTGAGTTGAAAAGTAATATTGGTCAGTCGAGTAGCTCCGGGTCGCTGCGTGTGGGGGGTGAGGAAGAAATTGATGCACTATAGAGATTTTGCCGCCATAAGGAGAAAGCGTTGTTGTCAGCCCCTTGGGCAAATGGTATTACGCATGCGGGACAACGGTTTGTTGGAGGTGCACAAGAATTTCGTGATGTTTTATGTAAGTATGTCATCCAATGTGGGTTTCAGTTTACGTATGTCAAGAACGAAACAACAAGGGTTACTGCGGTGTGTGCAATGCGCGAGGAGAGAGGCTACTTGTGGGCTATATATTGTAGAGTACAATGAGCAAATAGTTTTTTCTACATCAAGAGGTTCAGTGATATGCATAGTTGTGGTACGGATGTCCGAACACCAAAGAATCCGAGAGATAGTTCTGATTTGGTATCGAGTACTATATCTGAAATTGTGAAGGACAAACCGTTGACTCGGACGTGTAAGGTGGTGACTATTTTGAAGAGGGATTATGGGCTAGATATGAGTTACCACGTGGTATGGTTGGGCGTGGAGAAAGCAAAGACTATTATTCATGGAGATCACTCATTATCGTTTGACCAGCTGAGGTGGTATTTGGATGTTGTATGCGCTACAATCCGGGGAGTTATGTCAATATTGACTGTGATGCAAGTAGTCAACAGTTTTGTCATTTCTTTGTATCATTCGCTGCGTTTATTTCTGGGTTCAATTCTTGTCAGCCTTTATTATTCCTGGATGGAACATTCCTCAAAGGAAAGTACAAAAGTCAGCTACTTGCGGCGACGGCGAAAGATGGAAACAATGGTTAATATTTTTTTTTAGTTGTCTATTCATGTAAATATTCACATTGAGCGGCATAGTGTAGACATATGACAGACGATTACACAATGTGTTCCACATTTACACTGGTGTCAATGTTTACATTAACACACATTGATGTAAACAACAACATAATAAGATTGATTGAGAAATTAACAGTAATGTGAACATTCACATTATTATACACTGATGTGAATGTTTACACCAGTGTTTACTAATGTGAGTTTATCCATTAATAAATAGTAATGTGAATGTTCACATCATTGATGTTTACGAAATCAAATCCAAAAATAACAATAGTAATAGGGCAATGTAAATATAAACATTCACATGACCTGTTTCCTTTATAGTGTTTTTGTAAACTACTTGTGTTACTATTCACATTGGAATATTGTGAACAGTTGTTTAATGGTGTTGTGTTGTAGGTCTATTTTCTACTGCATTTGCGATTGTTGATTCAGAGACCATGACCAATTGGTCATGGTTCTTGCACTAACTTGGCAAGGTTGTTGATGGTAAGTATCAAATTACTTTTATTTCGAACCACAATCTTGGTCTATTAGAAGCGATGCCAAAGGTGTTCCCATCTGCTCACCACGGTTATTGCTTACAACAGTTGAAGAACAACTTAAGAGACCAGATGAAGGGAATTGATAATGGATTTAGGGACCACCTCGTTAGTAGTTTGGGTGTCTGTGCTTACGAGCCAACTATGGTAGGGTCCATGAAAAGCTTAAGAAATTAAAAGAGGAGGGTAAGCAACGAGCACATAGTTTTTTCAAGGAGTTGGCACCTGAGCACTGTGCGAATTCATACTTCAGGTAATAGTCATTTCCTGATGTATTCCATTTGTTAAGTTTAGAATGGTAGCGATGTGAAATTTCAGTTATGTTTTGTGACGATGTGAAATTTTATATTCAGTTCTGAAGAAATTTAATTCAATATTGTACAATGTTTATGATGTTGTGTAGGGGCATGCGTTATGGGGAGATGACATCCAATGCGGCAGAGTCATTTAATAATTGGATTAAAGAAGCACGCAATCTTTCTATCACTCAGATGGTGGACAAAATTCGTACTAAGTTGATGCGGCAAATGTCTGCACAGCATGACCAAGCAAACATGTGGAATGAGCTTATTTGTTTTACATTCGAAACAATGCTTCTTCATTCATTCAATGACAGCAGGTCTTGGCACGTGAGCAAAGCCAATGGGGATGTGTTTGAGGTTTATTCTATACCATCTGTTACAGTTGATATTGCAAGACGTATGTGTTCTGACTTCAAATGGCAAATCAACAGATTTCCATATGACCATGTTGTTATTGCTATTTAGAAAAACCGCTACAATCTCAATGCTTGTGTCATGTAGAGACATATCGTGCAGCCTATTCGGGTGCTATATTCCCTATGCCGTCGGTAGAAAAACCGTCTTTTGATCCCACGGACTTCACTATATACCCACCAACTGTGAAAAGACCACCCAGCAGGCTGAAAAAGAATAGAATCCCATCAAGGGGTGAAAAACTGAAGCAAATAAGGTGCAGGAGATGTGATAAGTTGGGAAGCCACAATCGAAAATCATGCAAGGAGCCGATATAGGATGTACATTTTTTCATTTCAACATTGTGTTTTACATGAGATTCTTATATTGATTTTTGAAATAAGATTGTGTTATGTTTGCAAACATTGTGTTGTAATAAGATTACGTTATGTTGGCAAACATAATAATGCATTGGCAAACCTAATAATGCATTAGTATTTGATTTGTGTTTTTTTTTTTTTTTAGGTAGCAAATTGACATTTTTGTTGGTGTGTTAAGAATGAATACATGATGTGAACATTCACACTTGTATAAGATAATCACATTATGTGAATAATTACACATGGTTTAAACTTTTTAACATTATTGTGGTGTGAATATTCACATTTTTGTTACCATTGACAGCATCAAAGTAGATGGCATGAACATTTACATCAATGTAACCATTCACATCATCAAATCAGAAAATGTGAATATTCAGATATGTATTACAAAATGTAATTGCGAGTATTTTTTGCTAGCAAAAATAAGATGTTGTGTTTATTATGATGCATGCATAGGCGTGTTGTGAATATTGACATTACTGCTGTCATTCACATCATCAAAAGTTACGATGTGAATTTTCACATCATCAAATTATTAGTTGTGAATATTGGTTTATGTGTTAAGAAATATCATATTCACACCTGTCATATTGTGTTACAATAACACTTTAAGCAATATTCACATCCATGTAGTAGGGCTTTTAAACATAAGAATGTGTATGATCCTTCTGTGATGTGGAAATTTACATCATGTCGTGTGTCAAAAAAAAATACAATCTCAATGTGCATGATCAACACGAAATAGGCCTCAAAATGCATATACATATATTGAATGAAAAATATCAGTACAGGTAGTGATATAGGCTTGATTTACAATCAAGCTAGTCTGTTCTAATATGTCAAATCTATTGACACTAAATTGTCTTAAATGTGGATAACAATTTCAGGAAACAGTAATAGGTAGACACCCCCCACCTATAGGTTTTCACATTGCATTATCTTTCTGTGATTTAGAAAAAATGTGTACTAATGAGTCTCTTATTTAATATCATTCAAAGCAATCTAGGCTGTCAACAATTTCCTCACGGTATACATGCGCCCTCATGATGTAACACACTGCGGGCCCGCAATCCACCCTGAAAATGCAAAGTTGTTATTGTTAGATTTTGAAATTTAAGTGTGTGTAATGGTTATGGAAGATATGTACAAATTGATTTTAGGCTTACAAATCTGATGTTTGCTGAGGACAGACGTCTACTAATATGATTGGTTGCGATGGATTTTGGTTTGATAATTTGGTCCATAGTGGTGATGATGGTCCGATGTTGTGCACCACAGCCTCGATGTAGTCCCTCTGCCATGGAGGGGAATAATGAAATTTCATATTAGGCACAAAGCAACATAGTGCATACGTCCAAGTTCAAATATTACACATTATGACAAGTATTATATGTATCAGCCACTTACCAATATTTGTGCTTTGTCAATATCTGGGTTATGTATGCTGGGTTTTGGTCGTAGCCAGTTATAATGCCTCTATAGATTGTCTTTGACGTCGTACACAATAATCGTCCAGTGGTAGTTGTGGTGTATTGGGAAGATGAAGTATCTCTGGCCTTGATAGTCATTGATATGCATATCAATCAGTTTGTTTCTCTTGTGAGGGGGTACTCTTGCATGACTTTTTACACACAATGGGCATACAATGATGTACCAAGTATTTATATCAATGTTTATTGTGAATGATGTGAATGTTTACATCTGTTAATTTATCAAACAGTCTTATAATGTATTACAGATGTGAATGTTCACACCTGTTAATTTCTCAAACTTCCCAATACATGAATGTTCACTGTGAATGATGTGAATGTTCACATCTGTCAATTTGAATGTTCAAACCTGTCATATTATGTTGTTGTTAACATTCGCATCTGTCTAACGTTTAAGTTAACAATATAAGCATATAACGTTGAGATGAACATTCACATCTATTGAACATTCAAATCAAATACTATTCATGCGAACATTCTCATCAACATCAAACATAAACAAACCAAAAGTGTAGTTGTTACCAAACATGTGCTTGTAAAGATTAATGCTGAATCATCCAAAGTTGGGTTGACCAACCCTTGTAGTTCGAGTAGAATTTCACCATATGCATCTATCACCTGCACAAACAGAAGGGTGACAGTACATTATTTCTAGTGTCTTTACAGTGTGTATGTGTGTGTATGTGTATGTTTTGTACACATTTACGAGTGCCATACATTGTTGTGTATTGATTCTTCCTTGATGATGTGTATGATGTCATCAAAATACACGTTTCTAGTCTTTGAGTCCCCTTGCCACACAAGCAACCTGTGCATTGTGATTACGATGCTAAACCCTTAAGGGCGAGTTTGGGTCGTGACAATATTTGACCGATAGTTGACCTTTTTCATGTTCACTTGTTAGGGACTAGCTGTTGGATCGAGTTTGCCTTTGGCACGAGATTCTTTTCTCTTTCTTTTGCCATCAAATCTATAGGAAAGGCCTATTTGTTCAAATACAAACAAATTTAATATTACTGTTCACAAATGAATAGTGATAATAAGTGTAAATTATTACATGCCATATAAATAATGGGATGGTGATGGTGAAATAGTATGTGACTAGCTAGTGCAAATGTTCACGTGAAGAGATGATAGCACATGACAAACCAACATTCACATGAAGATGTGAGAATAGTCACACATTATAACTATTAAACTAACACGACGTATACACAACGTTAATCTTCACATCATTACACTTGTATGTTTGACTGTGAATATTCATAGCCAAATATATAGCGTGAATATTCAATATGAATGTGACAATGTAAATATTAACATTATATTCACAACGTGAATATTAAAATTATGTTCAGAATATTATAATGTGAATATTAAAATTATGTTCATAATGTAATTATTGACATTATGTTTAGAATGTGCATATTGACATTGATGTTAATCAATAACAAGTGAAATAATATGATATTATTATTTACAACATGCCTACAAGAATTCACATGTAACCAAAACAAGATTGGCAACCATCCATAGTTTGGACTTTTATTATTTCATGACCATCAACAACCAACAACACTAACAAGTCTGACATTGATGTCACAATTTTAATATTTACTCACTAACTGATCTAATGTGTGTTTATCTATTACTGAATAGTAATGTGAATGTTCACATTATTGATGTTTACAAAATCAAATCAAAAAATAACAATAGTAATATAGCAATGTAAATATATACATCGGTGATCACATTATGACTGAAAAACAGAAGATGGAATGATGTTGCTTACTTTTGTTCCTCATTGTGGGTGGGTATGGAAATCGATGGACCACACTCAATCAACCGACGGGAAACACGAAACAACGAGCCACCCTCCTTCCGATATAAACCTTCGCAGCGGTGAGATGAAGTGGAATAGCAGTGACCGACGACGGTGGTGAGGCGATGTGAATATAGGGTTACAGTTTGAGAGTTTTTTGGGGCTGACGATGAGATTTTCTTTGAGAAATTAGTGTTTTGTGGATTGAATAGATGAAATAGGAATGGTTTGTTTTCAGAATGGAGTAGACGCAGGAGAAGTGGAGGGAGGGTAATTTCGTCCTATTACAATGAATGGACCTAATAGAATAATCAAAAATGATTTGGGTTTTATGGAATAAAACTATTAGGAATAAGATTTATGAAAAAAGAATCCATTAAAAAATGATATAATTATATTTTAATTTTAAATATGAGTCATTAAATTAACGCATCAAATCATGATCATGACTTATTGGCTAGAGATATTGACAAGTAACTAGGTGCTGGGCTGGATGTGTCCATGGGTTAATTTGAAGGTTTCGATAATTTAATAGATAGTTGTGCTAATTCTCCAGCAACTTCTAGTGAGTACGAAATTTCGAATGAATTCTAGTATTTTTACTTTTATAATTTATTTATTATACTAACTTTTATCATCAGCTGTGAAAACCCGCATTTAATTATTCAAAATAATAATAATAATAATAATTAATTAATTGTATCCAGAGTTTATTTGAAATATATGTTAGTGTAAAAGTTAGTTTTAAATTAACCCAATTCAATCACTAACAAAGATATGATTAAGAATAATAATTTTGTGGGTGTTCAATATTTGTTGTTTATAAATTGTTTTAATAAGGATTCGACATAATAATTATCTTTGATAAATAACTTAGTTAAAAACTTTAATTTTGAGAAACCCATACGAATACACACACACACCACAAAAAATATATATATATATATATATTTCGTGGCAGTAGAATGCCACCTGCTTGTTTGCATGGTGGTATAGGAACCATAACCCATCATCCTTCTTAGAATTTAGAGAAAGTCATCCTTCTTAGAATTTAGAGAAAGTGAATAGATATAATAATGAAAAGAATGTGTGAGAGAGAGAGCCTCAAAGAAATGGCTTCTATATATTCATACCACGCAGAGTGTTTACACACACTGTGTTGGTGTTTTCAAAGACTAATCAAAAAAAAATAGAGGGAATTCTTGTGGAAGAAGAGGAGGAGATTGAGGTTGCATATTTTCCTACCATTTCATTATTTCATTTCAATCCTACAACTAAGTAAGAAAACCCTCTCAACCCTCTCATTTTTTTTTAATTGTTGAAATTTTCGGGGTATATTCATATGATAAAATGACTAATTTATAGATAGAAATTTTTATATATATGTATGAAAATTTATGATAGTATATCAAATATTGGTAGTCTGAAAATCATGATAATGTTGTGGAATTTGGACTTGCATGTGTAGTTTATGCCATTAAAAAGATTATTGAAGATGTTGTTTGGTCCTTTAAATCTGCCAGAAAGTTGTACGAATTTTTATACAATTTTATGCTCAAAATTTGAAGATGATTTCTTCAACAAAGTTGTTAATAATGATGTCTAGTTCATCCACAAAATTTTTCAACAATTATTGAGTTTTT